GGAGAGGCCAGCACCTCGCCCGCTCGCGCGCGGCCCCGCCGCCGCTGCCGCTCGCCGTGTGCGCCCCGCCCGCGCTGGAGGGCCACCTCCGGGCGACGTGCGCACGGAGCTCGGGCGACGAGTCGCCCGCTCGCGCGGCCCCCCCCCCCGCACTTGGCGCGCGGGCGCTGCGCTCCGCGCCGGCCTCTGGAGCGCCGCTCTCGGGCAATCCCGGGCAACGTCCGCGCGGCGCCGAGGCCAGAGCCACATCTTCGCCGGCTCGCGCGTCCTCCGGCCTCCTCCTCCTCCTCCTCCTCCTCCGCCTCCGCCTCCGCCTCCTCCTCCTCCTCCTCCCACCTCCTCCCCCTCCTCCTCCTCCTCCTCTTCCTCCTCCTCCCCCTCATCCCCCTCCTCCCCCTCCTCCTCCTCCTCCTCCTCCTCCTCCTCCTCCTCCTCCTCCTCCTCCTCCTCCTCCTCCTCCTCGTCTTCGCCGGCTCGCGCGCCGACGACGTGGCGTGCGGCCGGCGTGCGCCGTGGCCCCTTCGCTACAGAGAGGCGCCGAGGCGACGCGGCTCGGCCTCCCTCGCGCGGGAATGGGGCGCCTCCCGCCCCGCTACTGCCCGGCGCACTCCGCAGGGGGCGACGGGGTGCCCCGTGCGGAGGCGAGAGAGCCGGTGCTGGCAGGGGCTATACCCAGAGATCCGATGTCGTGATTTTTTCAATGCGGGGTCCCCAGAAGTCTCGACCCATTCCCCAGGACCAGCTTGACGTCCTGAGTCGATGTTCGACGCTCCTGAGGCCTGGCGAGGGCCTCTGGAGGCCGAAAATGGCGCAAAACCTCCGTCTTGATTTTTTCAGTACGCTGGATCCCTGGGTAGCCAGGACCCCAGGTAAGGGGACCCGTTTAGTTGTGGGGCCCTGGAGCCTTTAAATTGGCCAGAATCACAAAACCAGGTTTGCCGCAGCTGGTGTTTTTTCGGGTGGCAGTAGTTCCGGTTCGTGGAACGGGCGAGGAGGGCGTCCCCCAGTACAAATCACTAAACCAGGTCCGGCTAGACCCAGTTATGCCAACGCCCGATAGAAGGGGGTCCCCCGGATCCGGTCGCCGTCGGCCGGTTTTGTCGCCATCGACCGGTCTTGTGGCAGTTCGGGATGGGGGTGCAGGAGGAGGAGGAGGAGGAGGAGGAGGAGGAGGATGAGGAGAGGGGAAGAGCAAGAGGAGGAGAAGGCGAGGGAGAGGACGAGGACGAGTGGTAGGGGGAGGAGGGGGGAGAGGGAGGAGGTGGAGGCAAAGGAGGAGGAAGAGGATGAGGAGGAGGTGGAGGAGAAGGAGGAGGACCAGCATAAACCCAAGAGTCATCAACGATGTTGGAATTAGCCCTCCGTCCAAGCTCCCTCTTCATAGACCCCTACAACGTCCTGTCCCGTTGGAAAACAACCGTTTGAAAACCCTTAATGCCATAACATTATTCTCGGCATTCCAACGCCACGGGACAACTTGACTGTCGCGTCTTGACGATCCTGAATCGTGCCAGAACCCCATTCCTGGGATTTCAAGAGAGCGGATCAACGTAACTGCTGCACCCTCATCATCCCAAACCCTTCCAAGACGCCATGTCTGGTACGCTGGTCATGGGAATCCGTGATACTCTTGTAAATTGTAAAAGCGAATGTGCACGGCGCTAAGGCAAGGCCACATGTTGAAAGGAAACGCCCTCAGCCCGTGAAAGTCGTGCAAATGTTAAAACGAAAGTGCGCGGCGTTAAGGCGAGAGCCACATTTTGAAATGGAGCCGCCCTCAATCCGTGAAGCTCTTACAGAATTTGAGAATGAATGTGCGCGGCGCTAGGGCGTGAGCCACATTTTGGAAGCGACTCGCTTTGAATCCGGGAAACCCTTGCAAGTGTTTACGACGAATGTGCGCGGCGCTAAGGCGAGAGCCACATCTTGAAAACGACCCGCCCTCTATCTGTGAAGCTGTTGCCAATGTTTAAGCTTCATGGTCATAGATGATGTGGCAGTCTCAGGAGAAACGCCTGGCCAGCCCTAAAAACTTGCCTCGGGGTGCGACAGGAACATGAATGGAGGAGGAGGAGGAGGAGGTGGAGGAGGAGGAGCAGGAGGAGGATCAGAGTAAACCGAGATGGATCAAGGGTGTTGCAGTACTCCCACCCCGTCCCAAGTCCCCTCTGCACTCGTCCCTGCAAGCCTTCCTTACCATCGTGGGGGGCACCCCCCTCTCGAAGGACGAGCACCCCAGCAGACAGGGGAGAGCTCAGCTTTCGATTTGCCCCGCGCGCTTTGTTGTGAACGCGCTGCGTTCTAGCCGCGCGGCGGGGATGGTCGCCACCGAGCAGACCCCTTCGAACAAACTCTGCGACTCTGCGAGGGCCCCGCGGGCGGGCAGGCCCGCGGGCTCCCGAGCGGGAGCTGCAGGCTCCCTGCTCCCGGGCAAGCCAGCACCACCGATTAGTCCCTGGGCGCCTGGTGGCCAACAGTGCAGTTTTCGCTTGGGGCCTGCTCATGCACCAGCGGCTTCTGGAGCGGTCTCCAGCGGCTTCCTATTAGGCATCCCGCGGCCTCCTCGGTTTCCGTCAGGTCCTCGTGGCGCTTCTTCGTGCACCGAGCGCGAACACATTGCCTGAGAGGCCTCGCCCACGTGCTAATGTCAGCCCAGGTTTCGGCAGTTTTCAGGTCGGTTTCCGAAAGCCTCCACGGTTCCACTCGATTCCCGTTGTGTGTGTGTGAGTGAGTGAGTGAGTGAGTGTGTGTGTGTGTGTGTTGGTAGGATTTGCGCCGGCTACTTTTCATGGTTGCGTCGGGCGTCCTCGCAGAGATCACAGTCCGCGACAAGCGCGCTGCGCCCCCGGAGCGGCGTGCCCGCCCCACGGAGAGACGCCGCCTCGAGCCACGGTGGCCACGGAAGCCAGCTGCCCGACCTGCTCCGAGTGCGGAGCGCGCCGAGGGCGGGGCTCGAGTGACGTGGCCAGCGACGGCCCTGGGCTTCAAGACGCACTGCCCTGAGGGGAGGAGGAGGAGGAGGAGGAGGAGGAGGAGGAGGAGGAGGAGGAGGAGGAGGAGGAGGAGGGAGGAGGAGGAGGAGGAGGAGGAGGAGGAGGAGGAGGAGGAGGAGGAGGAGGAGGAGGAGGGGAGAGGAGGGAAGAGAGGAGGAGGAGGAGGAGGAGAGGAGGAGGAGGAGGAGGAGGAGGAGGAGGAGGGGAGGAGGAGGGGGAGGAGGAGGCGGAGGAGGAGGAGGAGGAGGAGGAGGAGGGGAGGGGGAGCAGGAGGAGGAGGAGGAGGAGGGGAGGGGAGGAGGAGGAGGAGGAGGAGGAGGAGGAGGAGGAGGAGGCCCTCTCGAGGGACACATGTCGAAGAGGAGCCGCCCTCCGTCGTCGGAGCAGCTGGGCATGCTTCACTCGAGGCGATCGGATCCCGCAGGCGAGGGACCCATCTTGAAGAGGTCCGTTTTCGCAGTCCGAGAGGTTGACACCAGCACCAACCTCGGCGGTGTGCCTCCGCCGAGGGAAGAAGATCCCGATCTCGGTGATGGTGGTAATAATTCTGGCTTCCGAGGTGGCCGAAATATCACCACCAGCACCGAATGCTGGTTTCATCTTCCCCCTGTGGAGGCAACCCCATGTGTCCGTTGGGAGCTCTTGACGCGAAGTCCAGTGGCGCCAAGGCGACATACCCACTTGGACAGCCACCGGCCATCCATCCACGCAGCGACTGGAAGTTGTTTACAGCGAATGTCAGGTCGGGCTTGTCCCCCTACAGGGGGATTTTGGACGAAAAATCAAACATACGCAAAACATGCTCAAAAATAGTCAGCGATCTTGGCGGAGGACCCCACCAGACGCAGGTGTGAGAACAGCAGGGCAGGTGGGACGAAGCAAAGGGGAATTCCCAATGGGGCCACGAACCGTGCGAGTGGTGCGCCAAAATGGGGCGGTGCCGCCTTGCGAACACTGCCACTGGAGCCTTCGGTGGAGCTCCCTGTGGGGCCACGAACCATTTGAGGGATGCGCCCAAATGGGGCGGGGCCGCCATGCGAACCCTGCCACTGGGGCATTCGCTGGAGCTCCCTGTGGGGCCACGAACCGTGTGAAGGGTGCGCCAAAATGGGGCGGGGCCGCCATGCGAACCCTGGGGCCTTCGGTGGAGCTCCCTGTGGGGGCACGAACCGCGTGAGGGGCACGCCAAAATGGAGCGGGGCCGAAAAACACCCTGCCACTGGGGCCTCCGGTGGAGACCCCGATGTGGCCACGAAGCGTGTGAGGGGTGCGCCAAAATGAGGCGGGGCCGCCATGCGAACCCTGCCTTTGGGGCCTTCGGTGGAGCTCCTATGGGGCCACGAACCGTGTGAAGGGTGCGCCAAAAGTGGGCGGGGCCGTCATGCGAACCCTGCAGCCGCGGCCTTCGGTGGAGCTCCCTATGGGGCCACGAACTGTGCGAGGGGTGCGCCAAAACGCGGGGCCGCCATGCGAACCCTGCCACTGGGGCCTTCGGTGGAGCTCCCTATGGGGCCACGAAGAGGAAGAGGAGGAGAAGGAGGAGGAAAAAGACTCCCCCCTGGGCCCCCCCCTTGGGGAGGAGGACGGGGACGGGCGCGCCGCAGAAGGACCGGCGTGGGAGAGGAGGACCCCCAGAGGCGATGCGAATCTGACCCCGCCCCGGGACCCCCCCCCCGCCCGGGGAAGGGACAAAGGGATGGGGCTTCCCTTTGACGTAATGAGAACGTGTATGGAATTCCGTCAAGCTGCGAATCCGTTCCCCGAACGAGGACGGGTGCTCTCTCTCTCTCTCTCTCTCGCCCGACGGGAGAGGAGGATGGGAAGGAGGGGACGAAAGAAGGCTCCCCGTCAACGGGACCGGACAGACACCCCACACACGCCGACAGGGTCGGCAGATTTTTCAGTATTCTCCTGTGGAGGGACGAGCCCGACGTAACGCAAATGTGTGCGGCGCAGGTCGGAAGCCCTTGGGACGAACGTGCGCGGGGCTGCTGGCGAGGTCCACGTTTCGACCCCCCAAGTGCGCTCCGGCCGTGGAACTGTTGGAGATGGGTGTTTGAAGAGCGTGCGCGGTGCCGGGGCAGGAGCCGCATTCTGAGAACGATTGGCCCCCCATCCGCACAGACGATGGGACCTGCGATATTCGGGGCAGTGAGCTGCAAAGGAGCCCCAAGCGAAGCACCCGACCTGGCCTACGGACACGTGTGCTGGCGCGGCAGGGAGGGTGCCTCTTATCAGAAAGAGGGATGGGGGAAAAGGAGGAGGAGGATCAGGAGAAGCAGCGGCAGGATGAGCAGTAGCAGCAGCAGTGGCAGGATGAGTTTGAGGAGGAGTAGGATAAGGAGGAGGAGGTAGGAGGAGGAGGAAGAGGAGAAGGAGGACGAGGAGGATGATGATGATGATGATGAGGAGGAGGAGGAGGAGGAGGAAGAGGATGAGGAGGAGGAGGAGGAGAAGGAGGAGAAGGAGGGAGGAGGAGGGGGAGGGGGAGGAGGAGGGGAGGAGGAGAGGAGGAGGAGGAGGAGGAGGAGGAAGAGGAGGAGGAGGAGGAGGAGGAGGAGGAGGGAGGAGGAGGGGGAGGGGGAGGAGGAGGAGGAGGAGGAGGAGGAGGAGGAGGAGGAGGAGGAGGAGGAGGAGGAGGAGGAGGAGGAGGAGGAAGAGGAGGAGGAGGAGGAGGAGGAGGAGGATTTGTTTTGCCTGACCGGCAACATGCATCCCCGGACCCCCGCGGAGGTGGGCGAGCCCACCGAGGGGCCGAACATGTTCAGGCAGGACGCACGGGTCGAGACCAACATCTCAGCGCACTAGCGTTGCCCCTCAGACCCTGGTCGGCTTGCACAAGCCCACGAGCCAGCAGCTTCCAAAAGCCTGAGGGTCTTGGAGACCAGGTCGAGCCAGGCTTCGCAGTCTTCCGAAGTCGGGGGGAGGCTCGAAGGAGGACGGAGCGGGGGCCACCTCCTCCTCCTCCACGAAATCGCACCAAGGCCCAGCGTCGACGGCGACACCACCATGGCGCGTGGGATGGCGGCCACCCCAGACCATCTTCCACGCATGCTTACGACCCTGGGCCCCCTCCTGAGAAACAACTCAAGTCGAGCGAAGGCCTCGCACCTGGCCGCCGCCAGTGTAAAACTTGCAACGCTGGCAATCAAAAAGCAAGACTATAGTCCTTGGCATCGAGAGACAGCATGCGTGCCCCAGCGCCGCAATGGCAGGAGCATCGTATCCTCGAATCCCAACGCCAGCACCTCCACGGCAACTGCTCGCGGGCTGCTTGTCCTGAGACCAAGAACCTCGAGAACACGACGCACATTGCCAAACCTGTCCCGTTCAGGACCATTGGTGCAAGGGACCATCTTTCTTCTTACGGCTGGGCGCTGGGACACCAATTTCCTAGACATTCAGTCCCATGTCAAGGCTCGGCAACAGAGACACTGATTTGGCCGCCGATGAGGAAGAGGATACGGATGAGCATGAGGACGTGGAGGAGGAGGAGGAGGAGGACCAGCGTAAACTCAAGACTCATCAACGATTTTGGAATAGCCCCTCCCTCCAAGCTCACTCTTCACAGGCCCCTACAAGGGGTCATCCTGGTGAGGGAACTGCCTCGTTGGGAGACAACTGTTTGAAGACCTTCAAGCGAGCCAGAACACCGTTGTCGATACTCCAACGTCACGAAACAGCATAATTGTTGCGTCTCGACAATCCGGAGTCGCGTCAGAACGCACTTTCTGGGATTTCAACATCGCGAACCAACGTACATAATTGTTGTGGCATCACAATCATGAGTCTTTCCGGAACACCATTTCTGGCACGCTGACGATGGGCACCCATGAACATTGCAAATGTGTAAGGCCAGTGTGCACGGCGTTGAGGCGAAATCCACATTTTGAAAACGGCCCGCCCTCAATCAGTGAAACTTTGCATATGTTTCAAACGAATGTGTGCAACGCTAAAGCGAGAACCACATGTTGAAAACCACCCGCCCTCAACCCGTGAAACTCTCGCAATTTGTTCAAACGACAGTGTGCGGCGCTGAGGGGAACACCACACGTTCAAAACAACCCGCCTTCAATCCGTGAGGCTCTTGGAATTTTGTGTTAGAGAATGTGCGTTGCGCCAAGGCGAGAACTACATGAGGTTGAAAACAACCATTTTTCAATCCGTGAAGCTCTTGCAATTTTGTCGAAAGATCGTGCGCGGCGCTGAGGCGAGAACCACATGTTGAAAACGACCCGCCCTCAATCATTGAAACATTTGCACGTTTTATTCAAACGAATGTGCGCGGCGCTGCGGCGAGAGCCACATTTTGAAGACGGCCCTCCCTCAATCCGGGAAGCTCTTGCCAATGTTTAAACGACCTGTGCGTGGCGCTACGGCGAGAGCCACACGTTGGAAGTCTCCCGCCCTCCATATGTGAAATTGGCCACTGTTTAAACTTCAGGGTCAGCAATGGTGAGGAAGTCTCAGGCGAAACGCCTGGTCCGCCCTTTCGACTGTCATCGGGGTGAAACAGGGAGGCGTTATGTATAAGGGCAAGGAGAGGAAGAGGAGGAGGAGGAGGAAAGAGATGGAGGAGGGTCAGGAGCAGGATGAGCCTAGAGGAGGAGGAGGAGGAGGAGGAGGAGGAGGAGGAGGAGGAGGAGGAGGAGGAAGCAGGATGAGCAGAAGCAGCAGCAGAAGGACGAGCCTGAGGAGGAGTGGCGCGGGCGCCGTGGCGTCCCGCCGCTCACCGCCAGGCAGCCGACCAGGAACACTCCACGTCGATGCTCGGGTGCCTCCAGGCCGTCTTCGAGGAGCTGGCTCGGGTCCGGGAGGGGGCCAGAAGGGCTCGGCCACCGCGACCTCCCGGGCGAGGAGGTGGGGGGCGGGCAACGGCGGGAGGAGAGGCAGTCGCAGCGCAGCTGAAGTTCCTCTTGCGCCTCCTCCTCGGAGCAGATCGGAATGAGTCCACGACCCTGGCATGCTAAGGCGGGACTTGGAGAGAAACGACACAGCCATCCGCTGAAGTCCTACGCACGCCGCGCGTGCAGATTGGTATAGAAGATCCCGCCCACCCATTGTCCCCACCACGCCCAAGACATACGCAGATCGTGCAAGACAGCTGAATGAAAATGGATGCGGCACAACACTGTCGTCGTAGCCCTTGCCCTTGCTTTGAACGGCTCCATGAGGAAGAGGGCGATGGACTGGCCGTGGATCGGCCCACGGGCCGTCGCCCTGGTGCCAGGGATCGGCCCCGTGGTGCCCACCAGGTTTGCCAAGGCCCTCACCAGAATGGCTGCTAGGCGGAATTCAGCGACTCGGCACCTCGGCTCCGGCGGCAGCAGCATGAGGTACCGAGAGGGCTACACCGGCGTGGTGGCTTGCATTGTCACCACCGGCGCGCCGTACAGCAGCACTGGGCCCGACGACAGAATGAGCAGGGTCTCGAAATTCAGGCTGAGGAGGAGGAGGAGGAGGAGCAGCAACCCAGAAGGCCACCTCGGAGAGGTCATTGGTGTGCTTGCGCCCTCTCTCTGTCCACCACACAATGTGGTAACAATAGGGCGGAGGACTGCGGCATGGTACGACAGAAACTCCTTCAGCATGTCGCTGGCCTCGCCTTCGTCCACAGAGTGTAGCACGATTTCACTTTGCCTGCAGCTGCCGCCGGAGACAGCACCAAGTGCATCTTGCGGCCGTAGTCCAACTGCCTGGCAATCCAATCCAAGCGACCAAGCACTGGCATGGCAAGACAAAGACGGCTGGCTGGGCAGAAGAAGGAAGAGGGCGGAGTGCGGGGTGCGGGATGCGGTGTGCAAGTGAACAGTAAAAGCTGCCACCCTGCAAACGCTTGGGCAAACAGCTTTGCGCCTCCTCCTCCTCCTCCTCCTCCTTCTCCTCCTCCTGCTCCTTCTCCTCCTCCTCCTCCTCCTCCTCCTCCTCCTCCTCCTCCTCCTCCTCCTCCTCCTCCTCCTCCTCCCCCCTTCCTACGCGGCCTCCCATAACTCCCAGACCGACACGCGGAGCTACAACGGCATCTGCGCCGCTCGGCACGCTCTGAGGTTCCCCGCGGACCCCTCGGGCGGCGCTGGGCCGCGCAGCGCCTAGATAACCGAACGGACCTGCCCCTCGGGTGACGTTCGCTCCTCACCCCGTCCTCCTGCCCTCGAAATACGCACCTGGACGCGGGCCGCGCCGCAGCCTCGGGTCGGCCCTCCCGGGGAGATCTCGTTGACGCGGTAGAGACCCCCACTGCGCGCTGGATCTCTTACGGGGCGCCCGTCCCGTAGAACCCCTGTCTGGACTGTGTAGCACTTTGGAGCAGGCCAGGAGCTGTAACGGCGAACCAGCGCGACGGTAAGCAGATGAGCATTCCAAGGCCGGAGTTTTGTAAGGCGATCCCACATGTAGCCAAGCAGTCTTACTCCCAAAGAGTAGAAGTGGGGGAGCAAGACGATCAGCTATAGCGCCGTCGCGGAAATGCGGGTCGCGCACAAGCCTCGTTCAGGCCGTGCGCTGCATGTACCGAACCCATGTACCCGGCTGTCCGCGGCAAGTTCCGCCACCGTACCACTGTACAGATCCATGAGATGACGTCCGAAGCACCGTTCAGAAGGCCGTAACATGTGACACCTCTTGCCGGGATCATTTGAGAGGCTCTCGTGGGATCGATTTGTGCTAGCTTGGGCTCTTGCAGGGCAGTCATGGGGCCCTCTCGGGACCTTCCACCTAAGATATTATTGTGAAGGCCGGACGGCCGGTGCCGCCGACCCTGAAAGACATCAACGACGACCAGGAGGGGGAGGAGGAGGAGGAGGAGGAAGAGGAGGAAGAGGAGGAAGAGAAGGAGGATGAGGCGGAGATAAGAAGGAGTAGGAGTAGGAGTAGGAGAAGGAGGAGGAGGAGGAAGAGGAGGAGGAGAAGGAGGAGCAGGAGGAAAAAGACTCCCCCTTGGGCCTCCCCCCTGGGGAGGAAGACCGGAGGAGGACCGGCGTGGGAGAGGGGAGGGGAGGGGGAAGAGGACCCCCAGGGACGGATGCGTATATATATATATATATATATGCGTATCTGACTCCCCCCTGAGAGTCCTTCCCAGCAGGGGAGGAGGGCCCGGGGAGGACCGGCGCGCCGCAAAAGGACCAGCGTGGGAGAGGAGGACCCCCAGAGGCGATGCGAATCTGACCCCCCCCCCGCCGGGGATGGGACAAAGGGAAGGGGCTTCCTTTTCACGTAATGAAGACGTGGATGGAATTCCCTCAAGCTGCAAATCCGTTCCCCGAGCGAGGACGGGTGCTCTCTCTCTCTCTCTCTCCCGATGGGAAAGGAGGATGGGAAGGATGGAACGAAAGAAGGCTACCCGTCGACGGGATCCGACAGACACCCCACACACGCCGACAGGGTCGGCGGATTCAACTGCAGATTCGTATAGGCTGTTGTTGCTTGATGGTGCCTTTCTGGAGAGCTGTTTGGCCTGCTCTTGGGTGTCTTGGAAGCTTCTTGGGTGTTTCTGGGCACGTTTGGGTATTTTGGGGGGCTGATGGGTGCCTCTTGAGGCAATGCTGGGGCCGTCTTCTCAGCCGTGGAAAGTCTTGGAGGACCCCAGGGAGGCGCCGGGCAGTTCAAAAAGCCTCGGGAAGGGGGGCGGGGGCGAGACACGCGACAGTGCGCGAGGAGAGGCAGGCAACCCTTCGCGTTCTACTGCGCCTCAGCGTGCCAGTGGGCACGGTGACGCATCATCCACGTCGCGTGCTCCTATCGGAAAGGGGTCGTCCAGCAAGAGCAGGATGAACAGGGGGCTGCCCTAGCGTCCTGGGATTGCGACCAGGTCTCGGCGAGGTTGCCTCTATCTTTGCTGTTGCCGCTTGGCCTGCCTTTGTCCTCTCCTTCTTCGGCTGCGGGGGCTTGGAGGATGAGCGGGGGGAGGAGGAGGATTTATAGGAGCAGGCGGAGGAGGAGGAGGAGGAGGACCATCAAAAACCCAAAAGTCATCAACGATGTTGGAATCAACCTTCCCTCCAAGCTCTGTCTTCACAGGCATCTACAACGGTTCACTTCCACTGGCGGAACTGCCTCGTTGGAAGACAACCGTTTGAAGACCCTGAAGCATGCCAAAACATTGTTCTCGGGTGTCCAACGCCATGGAGCAACTTGACTGTTGCGTCTTGTTGATCCTGAATCGTGCCAAAACGCCATGTTTGAGATTTTAACACCGCGAATCAACGTAACTGATGCGCCCTCATCCTTGATCTTTCCAGCGCGCCATTCCTGGTACATTGATCATTGGACTCCGTGAAACCCTTGCAACGTATAAACACGAATGCGCGCGGCGCCAAGGCCAGAGCCACAGGTTGAAAATGAGCAGTCCTCAATTCGTGAAGCTCTTTCCTTTATATCTAGATATAGATATACAAACACGAATTTGCGTGGCGCTAGGGCGAGAATCACATTTTGAAGATCACCCGCCCTCGATCCACAAAATTCTTCCAGCTGATTGAACGAATGTGCGCGGAAACCACCCGACCAGAATCCGTGAAACTCTTGCAGGTTTCAAAACGAATATGCGCGGCGGCCAGGCGAGAGCCACATTTGAAAACCACCCGCCCTCCAATTGAGAAGCTGTTGCCTATATTAAATATTGGTGAGACAGCGAACGCCTGGCCCGCCCTAAAAACAGGCGACAAGGAGAAGTTATGCATAAGGGAAATGAATGGAGGAGGAGGACGAGGAGGAGGAGGAGGAGGAGGAGGAGGAGGAGGAGGAGGAGGAGGAGGAGGAGGAGGAGCGAGGAGCGAGGAGGGAGGAGCGAGGAGCGAGGAGCGAGGAGCGAGGAGCGAGGAGCGAGGAGCGAGGATCGAAGAGGAGGAGAGAAACGAGGAGGGCGAGGAGGAGGAACGAGGAGGGGAGGAGGAGGAGGAGGAGGAGGAAGAAAAGAAGGAGGAGGAGGAGGAGGAAAAAGGACGAGGACGAAGAGGAGAGCGAGGACGAGGAGGAGGAAGATGAGGAGGAGGAGGAGGAGGACGAGGAGGAGGAGGAGGAGGAGGAGGAGGAGGAGGAGGAGGGCGGCTGCCCAGGTCGAGATGCGGATGCTGTCTGCTCGAGGCGCCGGCGGCGTCGTCCACGCCATCAACTGGTGCCGAGACACAGTCGGGAAGGCCGTCAAGTCGATGAGTGCCAAGGTGCCAGGCCACGCCAATTACAGGATGATAGGAGGAGGACGACTCGAAAGAGAAAAGTCTAGCATACATATAAGCATTTGGCGCCCCGCGCGGATTTCTCGGATCTGCGCCGGGCCTCCCTGGCGGCGCCCTTGGCGCGCTCCGCGCGCCAGGGAGGGGGGTCCAGCGCAGATCTGAGAAATCCGCGCGGACCGTCAAAAGTTTATGTTTCTGCCGCATGTTGTTCCTTCAACGAAGGGGAGGATGAGCGCCTTCCAGCGGGGTGGCATGTGCAGGCGTCTGCTGCGGCCTCGTGGCTGAGGCACACGCTTTTCCCCCGGTCATTGAAGCTTCCAGCTCTGCACACGCACAAAGAAAGTTGCACAGGCTGGCGGGAAATGCTGTGGGCATTGGTTGGTTGGCTGTCCTTCCCCGTCCCCCCGATCCAACAAACTGCACTGGGCACGGAAAATTTTGGGCCTAGGATGGGCCTGGCCCTACACTGGTGCATGTGTATACCTGGCGTCCTCCCGGGTGCGCGTGTTTGTGTGTGATTCACGCCAGGTTTCAAGCCAACACGGTTCCAGGAGTTCGCTGCTATTTGCAAGGGATTGCTGGAGACGCGCCGCGGCTTCCTCCCCAAGTCCTCCTCCTCCTCCTCCTCCTCCTCCTCCTTCCTCCTCCTCCTCCTCCTCCTCCTCCTCCTCCTCCTCCTCCTCCTCCCTCCGCCCCCCCCCCCTTTTCTTCCCCCTCCCACCCCTTTCCCCCTCCTCCTCCTCTCCTCCTCCTCCTCCTCCCTCCTCCTCCTCCTCCTCCTCCTCCTCCTCCTCGCTCTCTCCTCCCTCCTTACTCCGACCACGTGCCCCCACCCACCACCGACTGCCGAGCACACCGGGCTTCGGGGGGGGGGGGGGCGCCGACGAGCACACAAGCAAGGGCGCTGCAGCGGGCACCGCGCGAGCCCGCACCCACCGGCGGCGGCGGGCGAGCGCACGGCGCCCTCGCTTTCTGCCGAAGCTCGGGAGGGAAGAACACACACAGACACAATTCCTCGTCGATTCCCACGAAAATGTTGAGATCAAGGTTGGTTTTCTCCACTTAATTCGAGCTTCGGGCGAGCTGTGGAGCTGAGATGCACGCTTATCGACAGGAAATTATGAGGAACGCCTAAAGTATCTAGACGCTTGGTCTGCTACCAGAGCTGCAACACAAAATTATTTGCACTCTTTAATTTTTTGAGAGACGATGTTGGTGGTTGTAGGCGAGCTACGGAGCTGGGAAGCAGACAAAAACCCAGAAAATACGGTTATACATGGGGGATCCTGGGATTCGTGTGTATTTGTTTGTGCGTCTCTGGGCCCCTTCAGAAGCGCCGAGGCGCCCTCTGAGATGTTCAGTGCGCGCGGTGGATGGTGGATCGCATGGGTCAGAAAGAGAACTATCGGGTCGGGAGGATGGGGCTGGGAGAGATGACCAGGTCATCTCTACTATCGTGCACGTCGGGTGTGCTTCTTGCACGGCCGTGCCCCGCATCCTCCCAACCCCGTCTCCCCGACCCGAGAGCTGTCTTCCTGGACTGGGGGGCGGGTAGGGCTTCTCCTCCTTCGCTCGCTGCCGTGGGCCCTCCAGCCTCAAACTCCCTGGTGCAGCCTCGGGGGCCAGGGGCCCGGGGCCGCGATCCCGTGGACAGCGGTGCGCTTCTCTGCGGATGCCCCCCCGCGGAGCGCATCCCTGCGGCCGCGTGCCCGCAGGACCGCGCCCCGGAAGTCCGACCCCGAAGGCGCGGCCACGGGCGCGTTCGCCCCGCGTGAGCTCGCAGGAGCTCGCAGGGCCAAGCTGTGCCTCGCGGGGCGTGTAGGGTGCGCGGCTTGTTCCTCGTTCCTCGTTCCTCCTCCTCGTCCTCCTCCTCCTCCTCCTGCTCCTCCTCCTCCTCCTCGTCCTCGTCCTCCTCCTCCTCCTCCTTCTCCTCCTCCTCCTCCTCCTCCTCCTCCTCCTCCTCCTCCTCCTCGGTCTCTCCCAGCCTTTCCGCGTCTGCTTGTCACCCATTCTCGCCGCTGGGCTTCCCTGGATGGGAAAAAAGTGCAGTCGAGTTTGATTAGTAGGTCGACCCTGCCCACACAATTTCACCCTGCCCAGATAACGGTAATTAACCCTTGTGTCTTGTGTGTCGCGACCCATGCCCTCTATGTTCCACTGGCAATGTGGCCATCCGTCGTCGATGTCGTCGTCGTCGTCATCATCGTCGTCGTCGTCGTCGTCGTCGTGGACGTCGTCGTCGTCGTCGACGTCGTGGACGTCGTCGTCGTCGACGTCGTCGACTTCGTCGTCGACTTCGTCGTCGATGTCGTCGTCGTCGGCCGTGGAGTGCTCCGACCAGGGGTCCCCGGAGCCGTCTGGTCAGAAAAGTGCAAAGTTTTTTGCACTTCTGGCCCAGGCCTCCCCACTTGGACGTCCAAAATTTGGTCGTCCAAGATTTGAGTGCGTTTGGGCGGTTTTCGGGACATCCCCCAAAATGCGCAAAGACGTTCAAAATCCCCATCCGCGATCCTCGAGGGTCGGGGCTAAAGACCTGGCGGACAGGAATCGGGAGCTTAGCTCACCCCCAGGGGCGCGAAGATGATCGCGCTTCGCGCATCGCGGCTTGGGTTTGAGAGGCGCTCTTCTCCACGACGGCGGCGCGAGGGCGCAAAGATAATCGCGCATCGTGGGGCGCGGTGCACGAATCTGGGCGACCTACGGAGCGGGCACTCGCCTCGCAAGGTCAACAACGTGAGGAAGTGCAACGGCTGGTCCAAGCTCGGCGCGGTCACGAATGCCAACAGACGCCTCTCCGTGATCCTCGCGAGTGGCCGCCTCGTCACACAGAG